CTCCAGGGGTCATTTTTGGGCCCCTGTTGATCTGCATCATCTTAAGTGATCTGTCCGATGTACTCAGATTCATTGACTCTTTCTTCTTCCTAGACGATCTGAAAAACGTGGCAATCATTAAAGCGTCACAAAGGAAACTGAATATTAGGTTCAAGGAAACGATAAGCAATTAGCAAAAGATAAATGCGCATAAATTAAATTTCGAGGAAATTTGAACAATCTGATTCCAAATGAAATCAAACCTGAGCAAAAAAAAAAAGTAGGTATAAAAGACCTAGGAGATCATGGCAGTCAAAACCTGAATTGGAGTACTCACAAAAAAGAACGCTCGAAAAAAGCGAACAGATTTCATTACTGCCTACGCAGAAACGTAGCCTACATCACAAACACGTTCGTAAAACTAGGACCGTACAAGTCTATTCTATTGCCAGTACTACTCTACGGAACACACTGCTTAGCCACCTCAAGACAAGATTTAAAAAAAACTCGAACCGTTCCAAAAGAAGATTATCAAATGGATCTTAGGGAATTTCTTTTTCCAACGAGACTACACGGACGAGCTGCGCCTGCTGAATATCCTATCGCTCCCTTTCTACATGCAATTGAATGACTCACTACTGTTGTCAAAACTATGCGGAGATCAAAATTTTGTTCAAGGATTGTACCACCAACAGGATATCAGAAAATTTACCCTGAAGAAAACACAAATTGAGAAAACCAGACATGAATTATTTTTTGGACAACGAGAACCGCAAACCGAAATGACGTAAAAGTGGTTTATATAATCTCTAAGGTCTCAAAAACGAACTTTAGCCCCTTGTGGAGATACGTCAAATTGTGCTAGTTGTCGCACTATATGGACAATTTTCAAATTCATGAAAACGGGACGAAAATGTCCTCCAGTTTACTGGGAAGTCAATACAACAACAACAACAACAACAGCAACAACATCAACAACAAAAACAAAAACAACAAACACCTGTGATATTTGACCAGAATGACCAAAAACGCATGTCTTCGACGAACTTTTATTTGAAGCAGTTTGGCGGGAAGTATGACTATTTTGAATGATTGACAGTGTTAATCATTCATTTTAACGAAATCAGGGGGGGTCAATTCGAATTGATGGAATTATTTTTTAAATTTTTGAATTATGCGTGCATGACACATAACATTTTTTTGCGACAATTGAAAAATTTCGAAAATCAGACAGACGATTTTCGCTTATCAGAAGACGTGTGACCAATATAGCGAACGACAAAAATTATATTCAGCAATATTAGAAGAAGAGCGCTCCGAGTTTAACAATTTGAACGGCTACAATAGTTAAAATTTGAAACCAAAATTTGATGATTTCAAAGTTCTCTGATAATCTGATATGGGTCCACGAAAAAATTTTGTTAAAAATATCAGTGAAAGTTGCCCAAGAATCAGAGACAAAATACCACTGAGAAATTGCTGGGAATTTTCTGTGCTACTTAATTGCACAACAACCGGCTATCCTTGTGTTCCACGCTTAATCACAATAAAATATCGGAATCGGTCGAATAAGATATATGAAAAAAATACAGTCGTGATTCAAACAAACTCAAAAATTTGTGAACAAAATTCTGTGTCGAGAAAAACCGAATTCAAATTTTAGTTTGTTAGTTTATTTGCGAGCTTGTAAGCTGAGTATGCAGGCTTACGATAGCTTATTTAAACTTCATTCCAGCTGTAAAATCTTAACTTTTCTTCGTTTGTGGAGATAAAAAATCCTAATACAATTGATTTTAATAAATCAGAGTCAAATTTTATGAAAGTTTTGAAGGCGAATTTTCTACTAGATGAGATCTTAAAGCGCTATTGTAGCGCTGAGTCGCAAATGTTGTAAAGCTCCGCTTATCGCCTCTGTAATTCTGTTTTCGAATGATTCTTTTTCTTATATTCGGGGACTCGCGAAAGTTTGTTCTCATTTGTAGTTTCTTAGTTATGCATTTGACTTCCGCGCCGTAAGTCATATTAATACAAAAACAGAAATTTTTCAGGTAGTTTTTGATTTTAAGAGGCATTGGTGGAAAAAAAAACTTTGATTGCCTTATGCAGCCACGCGCAACATTATTCTGAACAACATGGGTTCACAACTTGAAACAGAAAATAGGATATTGGGAAGAAAAACAATAGAATAGCTCAAATGTTATTTTGCTAGTTTCCAATTTTTGAAAACTCTAAGTTTTTGATGTTTTGCTAGGCGTTTTCTCATATCATTTGCTGTTGCGCTATGTCAATTGCAATATTTGTTTTAATTCAAGTGAATCAGTATTTCAAATGTTATTTTTGCAAACAAAAAACTTTCATTTGTGTAAGTTGCTGTTCATTAGCATGTAGAAAACAAAATATGGCAAACGATGCTGATTGAACGAAAACAAAGAGAAAACACGAACTGCAAAATCTTAAACGGATAGCAGTTTACTGTGCAAATATCACAAAATGTTCCAACCATAGTCTAAAACGAATAGAAGTTAGACATAATTGACAATCATAGTCAGTCTAGCCAATTGGAAATTAGTTTTTGTATAAAAATGACCGGAAAATTGTTTTTTTTTTGAACATTTTTTGCAGAAATTCTCTGAATCAAAAGTTGTGTGTCGAGAAAAACCGACACAGAAAACTTTTTTGAAAAATTTTGTGAATTTTTTTGAATCACGACTAAAGTTTTTTAATATAGTTTTTTATTCGAACGGTTCCGGTGATTTTCTGTGATAAGCCTGAAAATTAAGGTTAGATGGTTGCTGTGCAAGGAAGTAGCACCATATGATCCGACCAAAATCTCAAGGATAGTTTTTTTTAATTAATGTTTTTTCTTGTACGTCGTACGTTGATAGAGCTATACAAACACGTATAAAGTTTTTGAATTAGGCATGAGCATCTACAGTTTTCTCAAACAATAAGTAGACAAAAAGTTTTCAAAGAGTTAATTTTTTTTCAATTTTTTTGCACTAAAATTTTCATTTATTTATGTAAAATTTTTTTTAAAGAGAATTGCCAAACAAAGCTTCCAAAACTACGTTTTAACGAGCTTTCTTCCAACTGGCTGAAATTTGGCGACAGCCAAATGTTGAAAAAAATGTTCACTGAACATTGACAAGAAAAACTTTCCTTAATTCTGTTGACAGAACAATGACAAAAATATAGTTTTTTTTGTAACTAATTCAGCTTAGTCATTACTATTTGAAGGGATGATTTAATCATCAACTTGTTGTCTGTATCTGAAATTTTTTTCCAAATCCGTGTTATCCGCAAAACTATGCTAAGTTCGAGATTTGACAAATATGAAACCGTTTGCTAAAACTCGCAAAAACGTTTTACAAAAATCAGAAGCATGCCATGTTTTTTCTAATAAACAAATGAATTGAAATTTATAGATCAATGACTAGAAAAAAAAACATTTTAAATGTTTTCTTTTTAACTATTTTTGCAGTTTTTTGAGTTTTGACAGTTTTTTTTCAAAAACGCGCTAAAATGTTTAAAAAACTAACTTCTTTCGAATAAAACTAAGTTTTTATCGCTAAAAGTGAGCAATTGTAAGCTTTAAGGCTTTTAAAATAAATTATTGTGAGCCTGCTTGCTCACTCAAAGTTAGACGAAACGTCAAAAAATTCAATACTGTTTTTCTCGATCACGGGCTCTTATTTTGCTCCAGGTCACCCTGTATTTCTTCTGCACAATTGCACAAAGCAATCGAGTGCCCGCTTCAAGGCCGTCGCGGTTCTGTTTCGGTGACTCAAAGAAACTTGATTAAGAGCACCCAGTCCTTTTTACAAACTGGAACGGCTTGTATACTCTAACCATTTTGACATACGTTGCTTCCCACAGTCGAATAATTACATGTTTATGTTGGCACGAAACAACACAATTATTTTTTGCCTCGCCAAAACTCTTTCCCTTGATGGCATGTTCAGCACTTTGCAGCTGTTCTACAACACATCCAGGCCACCTATGAAATCTAGCGTGTTTATATGCTTCGATGTCCTAGCCAGGGAGTCTTATGTCCAGGGAGTCTTATGGAGAAAATTTCAACAGTGAAAGACCAGCACCGAGTTTCCCCGCTCTCGGTACGACTATAACTGCGCTAGACAGGGGCAATTGTATTCCTGGTGGGTCAGCATGTTTTTCTTCCACTCCAATACTCTGAGGTTTTGAACAACAGTTTCACTTCCATCATCAAGTCGTTATATCCTTTTCATCCATAGCAAAGGTGGCAGTTGACAGCAGTCCCCTCTTTTTCTGTTTCTCAAAGTAATTTACTTATTCTTAACTCAGCTCCATGAAATTTTCTCCCACTATGTCTTTAAATCATTTGTAGTTCTGTTGAGGATAGCCTGGAGGCTGCGCCAACCTCCTCTCCCCAACCCTCCGCCCCATCTTTTCAAAGAATTGACCCAAAAGCCACCGAAAACTTCCTATGTATTAGATCTTTTTGGCATCGAATTTTGTTATATATTTTGATAGCCATAGGGAGTTTTGATGGAAAATGTTCTTTATCATTTCTAACTTTTGAAGAAAATGGCAGAATATTTGTGCTCGGTCGTTTTTTTTTTCAATCAAAAATCCTTTTTCCAGACTTGCGGAATATTTATGCTTGGTGTGGTTTTTTTATTCAGTGAATTCTTGACTTGTTAACAAAGCATTTTTGACAATTTTTTTTTGTAAGCTATCTGAAAAATTTTGTCCAAATGTAAAAAGATATTATACTTGTGATTGTTTTTCAAAAAGTTACGGGTGCTTGCAAATTGGTAATTTGGCCAAATTGCAATAATCATCGTGCGATATTGCGTTCTTGTAACACGCGTAAGCGGCCAGTTACTGCAAATTGCGCATTGAAGACAGCAATTCCACCCTATTAAAACAATAGGAGACGCTAAACATACCTTTATTTTTTACATAGCGCGTGAGGGAATAAAATGAAGAAAAAATTGAAATAAAAACAAAGAAAATATTTTTCATTTTTTTTCAATTAATTCGTCAGTTATTCATTCCAAAATCTCATTAATTAGCCTGAAGGGCAGAAGGAACATTTGTCGCTTCGTGCAGATATACGAGTGAGCAGTCTTGTTTACAGTTCCTCAACATATTTACAGTGTCATCAGTCCACAACCCTCTTCAAGCGTGCGCCGTTTCGAAAAGAAAAATCAAAACTTCATTCTAGATGGTAAATAGTTTTTCCAAAATCAAATGAATTGTCTTTTGGTTGTTTTCATTTTTCTTTTTTCTATGTACATCTTAGCTTGACCTTCACATCAGTCCCAGACTGATTTTTCTCTCCTTTTCCTCCTCTTCCTCGATTGTCTCCTGGTTGAATCGGAACTCATCGATGACTTTCAGGAACTCGCGGCTGGGCTTGGGAACCCTGGAAGCAAACTCCTGCTGTTGATCAATACCCAGAACCTGAAACCAGTGTATGAACAAAAAATATTGCTGCAAATTTTATGTACTTCCTTTTTTAAACATACTTTTTTCCAACTTGAAATGATTGCTTTGTACTGTAACCGCACCGGAGTTTCATGTTCGGGTTCTCTTGCAGTCTTTTCGAAGCTATGATTAAGATTGAATGGTCATAAATTTGCAATGTGAAAAGTTTAGCCTTTTAATTTTAAAATTTGTTTTCGCCAAGTTTGAACTTTGTTTTAAAAAGAAATAATTCAGATTAAAACTAATTAATTTGAATTTACTAGCCTAGCAGTCTTAAAATATTATCTTCGGACCCCTCTTTTTTTAACGTTTGAGATTATGAGAGGATCTAGAAAATTTTTTTAACCATTTTTTGTGCTCACACACACTATCTATGAACTTTGTTTCAAATTATTTAGACTAATCATTTTACCATGCATGGTTGAGTGGTGTAGTTGAACTTGAATGCATTCGCAATGGAGTCGGCGCGTGACCTCACAAAGGGGGGCAGTTTATTTTGAGAACAGCCGGGAGGCATCTCGATTGAAATCATCCCGTAGTTCTGGTGTTCACCCTCCGCAACTTCCAGTCCTAAATTAAGTGGATGACGGAAAACATAGTTTTTGAAAAAGAATTACGTTGGAAAGATTCTCTGGTCGGTACGTTACTGGATCTAAGATCAGCAGCCACCAAGAAGTTAATGATTACACAGTATACCAGTGGGCGAAACAAAACATTTCAGCACAGAAATTTATCCAAAAATTGTAGGATATATGCCTTAACCAGGGATCAACAACGGTCCTCAAGATTAAAGGTTAAAGGTTATCCTCATGGTTAAAGAGCTCCATGTTTGGCCCTTTACCTTGTGCATAATTGATCTCAATCTTAAAACTATCCGGAAAAGGCTCATAGAAATTGTAAGAAATCATCACCTTGGTTGACAATAGTCGGTCTGCGGCCACCCCCCGACCGGATAGAGTCGGGTCCGACAATGATAGTCGAGGCGAGAAGAGTCAATTGTCGTTCCAGTGACTGAAACGCAGACGCTGGGAGGTCTCTTCTGGTAGCCCTGTCATTTTGGCTCTGGAAAAACTCCTGTTGATCCGTTTGACTTAGTTCAACCGACATGTTTCTTTTCTGTGCTACGACGAGTAAATGATTGTGTACAAAATTATGGATTTGGGCAGTCTTGGCTATTTATAAATGGCAACTGTTTCCAACAGATGGTTGAAAAAAACTGAACCAACCAATTAACTACTCTGAATTGGGTGATTAATTGTCAGTAAGCGTCTAAGTAAACGTCATGCAACGAATAAATAACGTTAAACAAAATTATTGATTTTGCCAGTCTTGGCTATTTATAAATGGCAACTGTTTTCAACAGACGATTGAAAAAAGTGAATAAACTAATTAACTATTCTCAGTTGTGTGATAAGTGTCAGTAAGCGTCTAAGTATGATACGATCTGCATCAGGCGATCTTGCTGATTTTAAGCTTACCAAAGGCTTGAAAAAAAAACAACAAAAATATTACAATTATTTATACTGCTTGCCATCAATCGGATTATAATAATTGTTCATAAAAACAGACTGTTGAAAAGTCATCAAAAAGTTATAAGCTTAATCGAGTCTTTTTCAAAGTCTCTGTATACAAAACTGAAGCTTCAATCAAATGAAAACAAAAAAAAACAATGAAAACCACGAATAAAATAACTCAAGCTAGGTACTTTAATTTGATGGATATTTTGGTAATTGCGCGTTTGTAGTCTCGTCAGGACTATTTTCGTCCCATTATGTGAGAACTAGCAAAAAAGAGAGAATAGGTAAAATTAGCTGACAGCATTGTTTCATGCATTATTCTGCAGCGGATGTATAAACTAAAAAACTTGCTTTTATCATTTTTCAGCCAGAATAAAATAAATACCACGTCAAATCGGGCGTTATGGGCATTCTTTTTTTAAAATTAGTATATATGGTGGCCGAAGGCCTTTAGAAAAGTTTTACGTTTGGTCGGCCGAAAATTGATGATATAAAATTATAGTAATGGATGAACCCTTTGGTTTGTGAGGGGGTCGAATCCCTGAGGAGAGAGCGTCAGCCGCACCGCCCCCTTAATTCTCCCTTTGGTCGAATCCCTGATGGAGGGATCAATTGAGCAATCTACTCCCCCATTTTAACCGATTGAGCTATCTCTCAAAAAACACCAGGACAGTTGAAAAAAAATCATTTAACACGAGTGGGTTGTTGAATTGTTGAAACGACCTAAATTTTTTCCTACGTCAATGTCGAAAAAATGTTTGGAAAAAAAATAATTTTTAAAGTCTTTTTTTGTAGGTGCGGTTTTTGTTTCAAGGAAAACGTTCAAATAGACTCTTATATAGATTTTTTTTAGCCAACAGTTTTCCTTGTTCATTGAAAAATTTAAATCTTTTCATTTAAAATAGAAGTTACCAAGCAAAATTGGACCATTTCGTTCATTTCATTTTTTTTTTGAAGTTACTCATTTAGAATTACACACGTAATCAAAAATTCAAAACGCCTTTTTCACCAACGTACCTGAAGTATCAATTGTGATATTCCCCATACAAATGTACACATACGGTGTAACGTGGGTTAGGGTTGCTCAATTGACACACAAAATGCTCTGTTAAAGCCCAAAAAACTGCTTGCCATGCATTTTGAAACAATTCAATGGTTTAAAAATTCTGTGAAAATGGAGCGATAAGCATTGTTCAATAATATGGTAGGAGAACAATCAAGGAGTTCAATCAATCTAAGCGGAGGAGAACAGGGCAGCACATTTCGATCGTAAGAAATTGCATTAGAACTACAGTGCTGATTCAAATTAACAGGACAAAACACGTTAAACTTGGACAACAGGACAAAACACTCACAAATTGGGCTGAGTTTAAGTGAAAACTTATGAACACAAAACTTGCTTTAAACTTTAGCAGAATTAATATGGTGTAATTTGTTTTACGAATTTCGGGTCCGAAATTTTACCCCAAAAGTGGGTCATTTTGGCTTTTCTTAGTTAATCAAAAATTACGCCGAAAATACCAAGTCGATCACAGATATAATTATATCAAGATGGACCTCTCACGTGGTTCAACAAACGTTAACAATGTTATATTCTCCAAAAATAAAACTGCAAACCGTTTAAAAATTGTTTTTAAATAAAAATTTGGTGTTTTATATAGTAAAAACGACCTTTTTCTCTATCAAACAAAAATAAATTAACTTATACAATGTTTTGGAGAATGTATCCTTCTTAAAGTTTGTTGGGTTTTGTAAGGGCCTCACTTTAATTATGTCTGTGATCGATTAACGATTTTGGCTGAATTTTTGATTAACTAAGAAACGCCAAAATGACCCATTTTTGGGGTAAAATTTTGGGACCGAATTTCTCCGAACAAATTACACAAATTACACCAAATTAATTCTACTGAAATTTTAAGCAAATTTTGACTCAATGAGTTTTCTCTTAAATTTGTCTCAATACGAGAAAAACGCGTTTTAAATTTCAAGTCTAATGCCTTTTAGCCAGTTAATTTAAATCAGCACTGTATATGACCAGCATTCTTTAAAAAATATTTTAATTTTTTTTCCTTATTTTCCGACTATCGTAGCAAAAGTAACGGAATATTTGTGCTCGGGTTGGGTTTTTTTCTTCAGACAAATTTCGACTTTTTAACTAGCCAGTTTTGACGGAGTTTTTTTATATATCACTCAAAATGTATTTTTGTCCTGAGCTCAAATTCGAAAAGATATTTTACCTGTGATCATGCTTCATAAAATTATGAGGGTTTAGCGATTGCCAATTTTGCCAATTGGGACAATTAACTCGCGATATATTTCGCGCTATAAACGCGTAAGCGGAGATTTAATCCGTCTTAGAAATCATTCCAAATTGGTTAAGGAAGCTAATTTGGTTAAGGAAGCTAAAAGACCTCAAAACACAGTCGGAAAATTCAAGGCTTCCCACTGATACGAGCGGTTTATGTTTTTTGGTTTGTTTCCAAGCACATGTACAGTAACCCTGAATAAGAATTACTCAAAAATATAACTTTTCTCTAGATAAGAAAAATAGTAAACTCGTCTAATTTGTAACAATTAGGCGCAAAAAAAAACAATCATAACCTTAACTGATACCATTTGAGTTTAAATCTATTTGATTTCTGCTGGAATTTGAAAACCAGCTGTAGAAATTTGTTTTTTTGAGCTACTGGCATACGTTAGTGACAAAAATAAATTTTGAAGTGTGTTGTTTTTTGAATTTATTTGTATTTGTAATTTCCAAAAAATGCTTGTCAAGCGGGAACTTGTTGAAAGAATAGTTGAAAACAGAATAAATTTAACTGCGATCAATTTGTACGCAAGACGTTTGAGAAAAAATATTGCAATATGACTCATAATCTCCTCGATTAGGCTGGAAATTGTCTTAAAGATCAGGGTAAATAATCATAAGACTAATTATATATCAAGGTCAGCTCTTAATCTTCCGGCTGCTTTTTCAGATCAATTTAAAAGAGGGAAATTGGTGAAGTAATTGAAAGAAAAAAGATTTTTTTTCTTAATGTTATCCCCGCACGTACCATAGCAAAAATCACAAAAGGATGTGTTCTCATTTCCTCAAATAAGAATATAAAATACTGAATTAAATTTGAGTTGAAAAAGACTGCTCGTATTAGGGCAAAGCCTTGGATCTTCTTACTACCTTTTAAGGTCTATACAGCAGTATTAACGTGAAAAAACTAAATCTAATTTAAAAAAATGTTTTTTTTTATAAGTGTACAATATTTTTTGTGAAAATCATCCCCCAAAGGCCATATAATGTATAAATTGTTAATTTTTGCTCCTACTAACAAATCAATTATGGCAAACAAGCCTTCTTCAACCAATTTGAGACGATTTCTAAACGGATTAAATCTCAGCTTACGCATCAATAGCGCGAAATATTTCGTGCAATAATTTTCCTAAGTTGGCCAAAATGGCAATCTTCAAAACCCTATAACTTTATGAAAAACAATCTCAGATAATTTTTTTTTTAAATTAAGCGCTCAGGGAAGCAAAATTTTTGAATAATATTTGAAAAATCCGTCAAAAATGGTTTGTTAGAAAGTCGAAACTTGTCTACAACCACTTTGCGACTGATAATCGATTGTATACAGACACAACTGATTATTTTTTTTCTCGAAATATATGGATTTCAGGTCCAAAATAATCAATTTTTTTATTGTTTAGAACTTGTATAAAACCTGTAGATTGTCAGTATACGGTCAGTATATAATCTTCATAAACTAAAATCTGTTAATAATCTGTTGAAAATTTGTACATAATCTGTAGATAATCTGTACAATTTTTTGATGAAATCTGTTTAAAATTAAATATTATGCACAAAAAGTATAAGGTCGTACGTAAAACTTTCAATTTCAGTCACCCAAAACTTAATTTATTGATATTTTAAACAATTTTAAAAGAAAGTTTAAAACCAAGAAAACATTTTTCTTAGTGTAACAGTGAGCTGAACAGACTTTAGAGAAGATTTACAGATCACTACCAGGCTGGATCAAAGTTTGGCCCATATTTGAATCAATTATGAAAGATTTTGGGCGTTGAATCCTGCACAAATAAGTTTACTTTTATTAGATCAAATAATTTAATTGCAGTTGTGACCTTTTTTGTTTCATGCGTCAATCATAAACGTTTTTGAGTCTAATGTAACTAACAACTTGTGAACATATTTCTTCGAAACAGATTGGTGACCGTATAAAAATGCGGTAAAATCTAGAGTAGGCGGCTAGGGCAACTATGGTCTCAATTTTCATATTTTCAAAACATTCTCAAATTTTCGGAAACATGTTTACTAAGATCCGCTCTCACATTTTCAACAAAATATCTCAGTTTTAAATCATGTTGGAGGGGTTTGCCTCGTACTGGCCATCTGGTCAATTTTTGCAAAATTTTATCTTCATAGAGCAAATGCTGTAGAAGCAACTAATACAAAAAGCAATGGTTAAAGAGTTAACAAGTCTGCCCATTCATCAAGGCAAGGCCCTGAATGCTCTGACTGTCTCTTATTTCCTATCGAATAGTTTGTGGGAAAAGAAAATTTGAAAAACCGATAAATTTTGGACAACACCAAAATTTGAAATGTTGAGTCGAACGAAATTAGTACAATCGATCCGACTAGCTAGCCTCAATTTCATTTGGAACGATTTTGTTGTTCGTGATAATTCGCCACGCATAAATAATTCGCGTTACGCTCTCAGCAGTAAGAATAAAATCTTCAAAATGCACATCAATTAGTCTAGAGGGTGGCCAAATGGGAAACTTTGAAACCCCCAGAACTTCACAAAAATCAATCGAGGGAAAATATATTTTCAGTTTTGAACTCATGTAGTTGATATCTACATTAAAAAAATTCCTGAAATTTATTATTGCGATCGGCAAAAATTGAATGAAAAAAATCACACCAGCATAAATAAATTATAACGCCGCCTAAGCTATTCAGAATGTGGGGAAAAAAGATAAACTGACTCTCATCAGACAGATTGGATAACGAATTGCAGAAGCCCCAACTAATAAAGAACACAAAAAAGTGACCAAACAAGACAACTTGTATCAAAACTGAGCAAAGAATAC